AAGCCCCCACTGCAACACATACAAAACCACCCATGTGAGCAAAATGTGAAGAATCAATGTGGCCCCTGAGATGTATGCACTGGGGTTCACAATGCTCTGAGACTGCAAGAATTTCTGGATGGGGAAGTTGGCGGCGTAGGCGAAGATTTGAGGGATTAGGCCGTCGACGAAGAGGGCAGATGCAGAGGCAACACTCTTGGATTCTCCTAGTAAGAGGAGGATCTGTTTGGAGAAGAGGTAGACCACCATGAGGGGCAGCCCTGTCAACATGAGGAGGATGGTGGATCTTTGGAGATAGATTCCTAGCATTTCATACTTGTGTGCTCCATAGGCTTGCCCACATAGTGTCTCCACTGCACTTCCCATTCCAAGCTGCTCATGAAATGCACATATATGTTAATCATCCACAAATCTCTTTCAATTACCCACTCCCATCTATCTACTCCTAAATGATAATCAAATGTTCGGGAAAGTCTACAATGTCGATCAATACTGGTGGCGATAATAGTATTGAAATCTGCCTTGTAACCCTAGAAACCAGCCGGCTTACTGACTGAAATGGACAAAAGAGAAGTCGACCAAAAATAGACAATTTTTAAAACTTGTATACTTTTATGAATTTTTTTTCATTAATTTAAAAAACACCATTGGGACTTGCTTTTTTTGGACCTTAAACCCAAGTTCCAATGGAGTTTTTCCTAAACATGTACAAATTTTAAAAAATGCCTATTTTCTCCACTCCTCTCAATTTTTGTCCATTTCAGCTATTAACCCTAAACCAACCTAGGTTGTCTGCCTTGTAACCCTAGACAACAAAGAGGTAAACCAACTTAGGTTATCATAGTGACCAGCTCAAACCAAGAAGGCCAATAGACAATTCCCACAAGGAGTCTAACTTAGAACATTGATTTTACAAAGCCAACTGTACGACCAATATAACTGAAGTTACTCCGTGTATATATATATATATATATATATATATATATATATATATATATATATATATATATACTTTATTGTACTAAATACTAGCAAAATTGATACTAATAATATCATATATGATTAGATCTAATACTATCAACACTAATACGTACTTTAATAGTATCCAATATAATCAAATAATATCATAGTCCGTATATACTCTGTATATGTATATGATTGTATCTAATACTATCACACTGGGAAGATAACAATAAGTAGTTGCCCTATTGAACATATATACTAGTTAGTTAGCCTTGATATTGTGTATGCTATCATTTTAGGAGGGTATGTAGTGTATATGGAAAAGAAGAAGAAGATTACCATAACTCCATAGGCCATGAGCTGAATACCATCATTCCCAAGGGAAGCAGCAGCAAGCTGGAGATTTCCAAGATGGCCGCAGAAGATCTGCGTGGACATGGAGGTAACATTGTTGAGCAAGTAAACGATGATGGCCGGCGCCGCAAGGCGGAAGAGATTCCTCAGTTCAATGGCGGTGGCCTTTTGCAGCCGCCGTAGGTTCGACAAGCTGGTGTCGGAGAGTGTGTCTTCTAGCTCCGAGCTTATCTGTTCACCCGCCGCAGGTTGTCGTTTGGGTTCCAATAGCGGTTCATTAAGCTCCTTAATGGTGTCGTCGTCTATGGAAGCCCCACTCATTTTTTTTTCTCTCTTGTTTTTATTAGGAGCTTAAATGAAATGGGTATCGCACTCTTCCTATATATATCTTTATGTTTTCAGGCTGAGATAAAATTTTGGGTTTTTACTTTTTACAGAAGTTATTTGACCCTGAATTGAATCTTTCAAAAGTGATGGTTTTTTTGCAAACTACATAGGCCTGCATAAAATTGGGTAACTCGGAAAAAATGGGTAATGAACGAATAATAATAATAATGCAATAACCAATAGGGTAGCTCAAGTGGCAAATGAGTTCTCTTTATGAGGAAGAATTCTAGGATAACCTGGTTCAATTCTTACAAGTGACGATTCCCTTTGGGCCAACTTCTGTGCCTCTGGGTGGAACTTGGGAATCAAAACTGATTTTTTTAAAAGTGGGATGTGCGTTTTTAGTCAAAACGACGTCGTTTTTGCATCCGTGTGCACCATGCATGGTGCACACGGATGCACGGCATAATTTGCCTATTACAGTAGTCGCGTGAAAAATAAAATTTACGCTAAATGACGCCATTTTTGGACTGTGGCCCACAGCTATGAGGATTATAGTTCACGCAATAACTATTGAGAAAGTAGCTTTTGGGCTACAAACAATAAATAAATAAGTTGGATAAATATCTCCTAAATATTTACTAAAAGTTCTAAATGAATTTTTTAAATTTAAATGATAACTATATTGATTTTTTTTTAAATTTTAAAAATAAATCACAATGTACATAAACTCATAATTTTAGATATATAAATTTGATTCATAAAAGTTATTACTATAGGTATATATATAAATTTCTACTATGGATATATAAATTCACTATTGTATGCGTATAAATTCACTAGTGTCTAATGTAAATAATAGATTCACTACTATTTATGTCATTTTTATGTACTTATTTTTTTCTATATATATACCTACAATTTTATTTTTGTATACGCGGGTTCGTCATGCAAAGTGGACACTCGTCCACAGTATAATTGTCAATTAAAATAACGTGGGTTTTAAGAGGTCATATTGATTTGCAAATCATCATTGAAAGAGTAGAAAGTGTATTGCATCCAATAATGTGTAATAAGAGACAAATAACATTATTTATTGTACGTGCATGCATGAATGCTTTTACGACTTTTTATTTTTAATGCACTAAGATTGTCGGGTCGGGTCCAGGGGGTAAGGCTTGCCAATCCCCCCGTTTGTAGTTCCGATTCTTGTTTCTGATTTATTGAATTAATCCCTTTATCAAAAAAAAAAATATAATTAAGATTAAGGTTTGTTCAATGTATTACCCTTCAACTCATATTATGTTTTTAGTTTGGCTGAGCAACTTAAATGGTTTGTTTTTTTTTTGCTTGATTTTTGCAGTGACATGAAGGAAAGAGAGAAAAGAGAGAAGAGAAAAATTAAGGAAAAAAAAAAGAAAAAAATTCTGACAAAAAGAAAAAAAAAATAAAAAAATCTTCTCTCACACTCTCAGCTGTTGTGTGCAGCTGAGAGCAGCAAGTGCACCAGACACACATCTACATTGTCTCTTTTACTTTAAATTCTTTTTAATGGGGCTCACAAAAATTTTGTAATTGCAAAAAAAAAAAAAAAGTTATGAAACTCCCTTCTCATTTGTTGAAAAATTACATGCTAATTTTTTGTTCGGAAAAAATCATCCTAAAATTCATTGATGGGGTTGTTCTTAATAAAGTTTGACTAAAGTTATCTAGAATTTAATTTTTTGTAATATTTAATTCAGTGTTAATGCATAAAATTGATATATTTAAAAACTACATCTAAAGTACTGTTAAATATACAAAAAGGACGTGTAAATTTAAAATATTTTTTAAAATTTAAAATGTTCAAAAAAATAAGAGCCAAGCACCTTGTGCTCAGATGACATGTAGTGACTTTTCTCATATGAGAGGTCATGAGTTCAAGTCTCCTAGATGTGTTGTTCACTCTACTTGCTTTAACAAGTTGAGACCAATGAATAGTAAATATATACTACATGCATGTAAATAAATATTATTTCTTTCATTAATTTTCCAAAGCTAAATTTAGAGTGATAGAGATGCTTTTGAATAAATAATAGTTTTAAAAAGCTATGTTGGAGCACTTGAACCATTGTGTAAAAAAAGCAAATTGTCAAATTGGGTATGATTGTATAGTATAAGCCTAGCTATATGACCCACTGCAAACCAATGACTATTGAAATGAAAATTATTCATTTACCAAAAGTACATGTGCACATTGCTCCAACCTTCATTCTCCATTTTGAATCTCATGTCAAAAGAATATTATCTACACTTATAAATTTGTATGGTATGAAACTTCTTAAGTTTAAATATTACTTTATCATTTCTAGCTTGCAAAATCAATTGATATGGATCGTATTACTATCGACCGTTGAAAAGTTTAAGTTCACAACGACCCACTTTAGACATCTCATACTCAGATCTACAATCTTATTTTACCTTATTATCACATTATCAAGCACCAGATAATTCTTTATTAGGTCACCCCCTCTGCTACCAATCTACAACAACATCATATAAGCAAACGGCTCTCACTTACAACTTTCACTTATGACCTCGTCGTCTCTCCGTATTGAGTTTCTGTCATGTAGGTAACCCTTTCTTGCCACACACTACTCTCCCTACAAGAGCACCAATGATAGGTATTCAACCCTAACGAAAAAAAGCTCATTCCAAAAGACAGTCCAATAGATTAGAGAATCATCAAACTTAAGCATCGATGCACAATTGTTTTATGAAACGGGTGTGATCGAGATCATATTATCACATCACCCCGTATTCATCTATCCCATTTAAAAAAAAAAAAAAAAAAAACCTTAATTCTTAAACTCCATATTCAAGTAGAACCTTATATGGATCAATCACACATAAATTACATCATTGTTTCTTAATGACTTAATTCCAAGAATCGTCCATTGACTATTAACATTTTATCAATATAATTTTTATTATCGATTTTTAATTAGACCATAAATGGTCCATTAACTATTAATATTTATCAATTTTCATCATTGACTTTTAATTTGATCATAAATAGTCCTTTAACTATCGATTTTGTTTCAAATTTGGTTTTCCAGTTAAATATTTATTTAGTAAACATTAAATTTAAGCGTAATAATGTAAAAATTGTTGGGATGGACAAATTGAGTTCATAAAGTTAATACATTGGGTTATTATTAGTGGGAATGTGATCGAAGAACTAAATTTTTTACTTTATTACCCTTAAATGTAATATTTACTAAATGAATATTTATCTGGATGACTAAATTTAGAACAAAATCAATCGTTAAGTGACTATTTATGTTCAAATTGAAAGTTAATGATGAAAAAAATAGAGAAATGTCAATAGTTAAGATATAATTTTTATGGTCCAATTGAAGACCGATGATTAAAGTTGATAAATGTCTATAGTCAGTCAATTATTGTTCCCAAAAGGTTGAATCCTCAACCCCAAGGGTCCCACGCCCGGTCCTTCAGAGCATATGTGAGGATGTAAATCATGGTAACTCAGCTGAACAAAGAGGCTAGATCTTTGCTTACTCCGCACAAGGAGCCCCTCATTTTGAGAGGTTGATCCCACACTGTCGCTAGTGAAACTAGATCCCATGTCATTGTTCCCAAACTTCAACTAACTAAGCTGCCCATGCGGGTTAGTGAGTTATTTTTAGAATTAACTCTTTCTTAATTTTTTAAATGAAGTCTCATTAAATAATTTTAAAAAGGAATATATCGAGTTTTGATCCATGGATAGAATATTGAATGACATGATATGATGACAGAATTAATCTGTTATGTTGCTGGCAATTCTGGTGAGATGCATGCAGCTCGTCGATGTGCGTTCATCTCCTCCATGAATTCAAGAAAGAATACTAAACCACTTTCTATGATGATGCCACAACCACACAAAAAAAGGACATAAAAAAACAGATAAATAAAGACATTAACAAATTAAACGAGGTAGGTAACGTTTAATTTGGTATGCAAGTTGCAATATTTGCGTCATAAATTGAAAATTAGAAATAAATTAAAATTACATTTTTGAGCACTTACAACCAGTTTGGCTCGTGGAAAATAATTAAAAATCAACTGAATTAAATTTTATGAAAAAAATACTTGGAACGTCGATTTTATTGTTTGGTTTGTTGGAAATAATTAGTATAAAGATACAAATATCTTTACATAATAAAGATATATGAGGGTAATCTAGAAATTCGTTTGATAACTTTTCTCTCGAAAGGTATAAAATAAAATAAAGGGAAAATGACACTTTTTACCCATGAGTTATATACTTATAGCACTTTTTCTCCCTCAATTATTTAGGTAAGCACATTAGCCTCCTCAATTATTCTAAAAGTAGTGCTTTTTCCCCCCTGATATATTAAATTGACATTTATACCCTTAAAGTAAACATTTTATTTATTTTACTACTCCAACAAATTATTGCGTATACGTAGGGATGACCACGGTTCGATTTGAATTGAACCGGATACTAAAGCAATCGACAATTAATAGTTTACGGTTATAATTCAGATCTAGAACCCAATATTTAAATGTCAATTTATTAAAATTATGTATCAAAAAAATTGAATCTTGAACCGTGAACCGGCGGTTCCGGATCTGATTCGCGGTTTTGAACCGTCTTTATTTTAAAATAGTCTAAATTCAACAATAAATGTATTTTATTTTTTCAGTTCGGAACATGAACCGTCCGTTCCGGTTCACGATTTTAATAAACTCTAAATATCGAATTTCGATTCTAAATTGTAATTGGAATATTTCGGTTTGGTTGCTATAGTGTTTGTTTAGTTTGAACCAAATTATGGTCATAATTTATTGGAGAAAAAAATAAATTAAATATTTAGTTTAAGGGTAAATATGTCCATTTAACATTTCAGGGAAAAAAACAACCACTTCAATAATTTAGGGGGAAAAATGCTATAGGTATATAACTCAGGGGGAAAAAGTAAAATATATTTTTCTTCAAATTTGAAGAAAAAAAATTCTCGCATAAATTATTTTCACATGAACCATATATGCTATTAGTGATTTTTTTAGTTTGTATTTTTTGTTGCATTCTTCCAATCGAGACGCAATTGAGCTCTCGTTAGAGGATAGTTCTATCATAGTGATTCAAATCCTAGAAAGGTTTGGAGTCACTTAAAGATGGGGTCAAGAGTTTAAACTCATGTGTCTATATCATATCTAGGGCTAATTGAAGTTTGACTGTATTAGTCTCATTCTGCAAGATGTAGATACTAGCGCAATATGCACGATGCGATTATAATTTCTTTCACATAATTAAACCGAGGCATGTTGGTAGAAAGTAATAATATTCGGGAGTTGTTAATTAAGACTATATAACATTATATATTCGAAAAAATCAATTTTAATTTATTTACATCCTTAGATAAAATATATTTCAAAAATAATTAAATTATTAAATATTTAATTTTACATTATTCTACTACCTTACAAAAATTATTATTTTGAATCTGATGAGAATATGGGACCTCAGGGTCATTTTATTTTATTGAAAAATATTGGCTCAATCACCAAGCGGGGTGTCCATGGTGTTGGCCTACTAAGGGGTATTGAACCCACAACCTCCCACTTAGCAACCAACATAAGCATTAACCACCCAAGCAACTCAAGATCTTATGTATTAAAGGGCAAGAAGCTCCACTTATCCATGAGCTTGCGCGGGATGCAAAGTAGTAGGGGACACGTGTGTGACCAAGAATGGAGGTTGTCCGATGTCGTCCATTTGTGAATAATCTATGAGTCCTTCAACAATATAAATACGCACCGTTTTCAAAAAAAGATATAAATATGCACATTTCTCTTCCCTTAAAAAGTTGAAAGGCATCCCTTGATTCACCGCTCAAACCTCTTATAGGTTATTGGCCTAAGTCTCTTCTTTTTTACTGACACACTAGGGTTCGATTTTTAGCAGAGTATTTATTATTTATGTATTCTTTCGGCCACCGTTTTGGGCTAATATATCAGGCTTTATACATACTACCCCGTTTTGAGCTAATATATCAAGCTTTATATATACTATCTCCGTTTTGTACCTATATATCCGATTTATAGTGGATCTGATTCCAACAAAACTATCATAATCATCAACAAGACATTGGAAATTGTAAGTTAGTTATTTGACAGTGAATGTTGTAGGCGTGATGTCAGAATAGATACTGAGCAAGAAAACAACAAGGTAGCAGTTATCAACTTAGCAATAATGCAACCTTTGATGATGAAAACAACAACGAGGTAAACATGGAAAATGATATATACTCTCATGGAGTAAAATTTTGTCAAAGTTTCGTAATTTTATTGAAAGGAGAAAAATGAAATAATAAAAACGATAATTTATTTTTAATGAATAAAAAAAACCAGTAAGCATATAGAAAATTTAGAGTATGTGTACTATGTAGTATTACACATGTAACATTACCCCAATTGGTAGCAACCTTATTAGTGGTACATCATAATTTTCATATCAAAATGTCACAAGTTTGACTCTTATCAACATTTTCATGATCTAATCTGTCACCCACGATCTTTAATTTTATATTTCTTTTTTGGTAAGAACACACACAATCTTTATAGTGTGGCCAGGCTCGGATTTTGGATTGTGCAAGCAGCCCAACAGCACAGAGCCCCAAATTTTAGAGGCTCAAAATTTAATTTAATTTACTAGTTACCAATTAAAAAATAAATAAAATTGCACTTAATCACAAAGGATTTTGCTTGCAGAGATAGTAGAAATGCATTCCCAAAGTGTCTCATGTAGAGAGATCCATGGTTTGAATCTTGCTTGTTGCTTTTCCATTGTAATTTATTCCATAATATGTCTGAAAAATTATGGTAATTGTAATTTATTCCATCTGCTTTTGGTAAAGACTCATTCATTTATAAGAACGGGCCCTGGTGTGGCTTACTTCTTAGCTTCTGTGTGGTTTCCACGCTATTATACGGGAGTAGGTTTTCTCTTTATCCAAAAAATAAATAAATAAAAACAACAATAACAATAATAATAATAATGCAAATTGGTCGTTTTAGTCCATCAATTATGCTAAAATGATAAACTAGCTAGTAAACTTAGACCTTTAATTATATCTATTACTTCATTTAGTCCCTTAATTGTTCGTTTAGTAGTTGTTTTAGCCTCTCACCTTAAGTTTATGTTAAAATTAACGGTGATTGAAGGATAAAATTTGAAATTTATTAACTTCCCCTCAAAACACAAATCAAATAAGTTTTGAATTATTTGTAACTATTTCTTGCATGTAATATATATTATATTTAATTTGGGATTAGGTTCTCTGACTATTACTCATTTCAAATTTTAGTCATTGACTTTTAAATTTATCAAATTTAGCCCATAAGTATTGAACCATTTCTAATTGTAATCTACCATTAATAATTTTTCCCTATGTGAATCATTAACATTGGGGGTAAAATTAAAAAGTTATGACCATTGCACTAATTGTTTATCCCATGCCAGTAGTAGTAGAAAAAGAATTTCATTGCTAGCCATCACTTCCAATTAACCCAACTACATACCCCCAAACCCCGACTTAAGATTATTTGGGATGATGTAAATTACGATAACTCAGTAACTCAGTGGACATAGTCAAATGTCGGTGCACACAATGGATCTGTCGACTTTGGGCATAATCTCCACACTACCGCTGTCGAGTTTCAAACTTTGCTCTATTCTCCCAAGTACTACCTACTGAACCAATGAGTTAAGCCTGTGCGAACAAATATCTAATTGTATGAATATAAAATGATAACAATACAACAACAATAAATACAACAGGCAAAAGAATTATGATGATTTATTTTCAATGTGAGAGTTATGTGCATACAAAATATCATTTTACACTAGTATTTTTTATGCGCGATGCGCATAAAATAAGTGCCCAATATTAATACATTATATTAGAATTTAAATTTATTTAGATTTTAGATATTTAAATTATTCTAAATAACAATAATAATAATAATGTAAATCATTTTTATAAATTTGAGATTTATATTTATGTAATAATTAACATATAACTCAAATATTTAATGTGTATATATTATTATTAATGAAGAAGATAAGAAAATATATGGTGGATGCATGTGCATGGTAACAATAGTGGAAATGATAACGGAAGTTATAACGGTAGGGGTATGTTTGTCCAAAATATTTTAATGTACAACCTTTATAGAATAATGTACAAAAAAACTTAACGGAGAAAACGGACATAAATCAGGGGTATAACTTTCATTCACACTTATTATGTTTTTAGATTTGGTAAGTTGTCTAATACGGAGTTATGTTAAG